AAACCCTTATAAAGCAAGTGAGTGTGAAGGATTTTCCGGTCAGAGTTAAGACTTCGTACTCCCACATATAGGGCATGGACAACACATAAAACCATTCTGCTTGTTTGCCTCAGCCACTTCAAGAAACTTATGCAGGCCCTTAATGTACTCGGAGGTGTGTGTGTCACCGTACATCCATTGCCGGTTCATCTGCGTGTATTATATATAATTATGTGTGTCAAAAGTAAGAAAATTAGAAAAATGTCTATCTAAAGTAAGAATTTTTTTATTTCAGAAAGAAGATAAAAAACAAGAGGCTCACCACGGTGGTGCCGGCGACGAGATCGGCACGGCCGATTGACGACGGTGAAGACAAGGATGGGGCGTGACGGACCGCTAAACCTATGCAAATCTCAAGAAAAATGGAGCTCGGGGGTCGAGTTTTGAGAGGAGAAAACTTAACTAGTGTGGCTCGGAAATTTCATCGAACACCTCATGTGCATAGGAGGTGAGCTAGAGCACCCAAATGGCCTTCCCTCGCCGGCCAGAAAAAACAAAGCACTGTGAAGTACTCTGCTGCAGCGAGGGGGTATATATAGGCAACTCATTTTTCCCGGTTCGTGGATAGAACCGGAACTAAAGCTCCCCCTTCTGTCCCGGTTCGAGCCACGAACCGGGACCAATGTATGTGGGCCAGGAGTGAGGCCCATTCGTCCCGGTTCGTGCCAGGAACCGGGACAAATTCGTTATGCCGCACCGGGACAAATGCACACGAGGCCCCAGTCGCCCCCCTGGGCTCACGAACTGGGACGTATGCCCCATGGATCCCGGTCCGTGACTGAACCAGGACTAATGGGCTGGCCATGCCCTAATCAAAGCCCTGTTTTCTACTAGCGAATGTCGGAGCCACTGGCAGTATAGCCATCCATGGAGCAGAGCATGCAAAGAAAGTCATCTTATGGAGGCAGCAGCGTGGTGACCGGCGGGAGGTCTGCGAGGAAGTGGCCGGTGAACAGGTAGAGCAGGCGGACATGGTCGGGTTCATGAAGCAGGACCAGGAGGCCCTCGGCGGTAATAGCGAGCACGTCATGGTCACGGAGATCGGAGATGTCCACCTGCACGCACTCGCCGGTGGATGTGTTGAGGAAGAAGCGGCGGCTGGGGGCAGCATGTACTTCCCCGAGCATGATCCACCGCCAGGGATGGAACTGTGCCCGCGCGGATCCGAGGAGCACCGCCGCCAGGAGCGGCACACGCACGGAGGCGGACGTAGTCAGCGACGTCGTAGGCGAGGAAGCGGTCGACGATGAGCCCCGCCGGCCCCTCCGCGAGGCCCACCCAGTCCCGAGATCCAGGCATCAGATTCAGATCGGGATGCTTGCCGCCGGCGGTGGGGCAGCTCCCGGAGAGGCGGACAGGGGAGGGACTGGGACGATCCAATCCAATCCCAGCCGCCGGCAGCAGCGTGGAGATTCGTCGCCCGGGGGAGGGGAGGCAGCGTGGACGATCCAAACTAATTCGTCACCCTAAAGCTAGCTCGAACCTTCAGAAAGGTGTATTCAGTTCAGACTTGGAGTGTGTCCCATTTTCAGAGAGTATTCTTTTTCTTCAGTTTTTTCATGTCGGTCTTTACGTGACTTATTATTTGATCTTTATGATATGAATAAGACATATATTACCATGCAAAAAAAAAAGAATAGTATACTTGCTTGTTGTTTCTCACAAAGTCGATGATTGCAAATTTAAATGCCCTGTCAACAAGTTTCTATGTTTTTATTTTCAACAACTTTATCTAATTGGAACATGTTTTTGAGGCGTATTATATTTTTATACAAGGCAAAATAAAATTATAAGAGACTACCTCTCCCGCGAACATACGAAATCCATGTGAGCTGATCCGTAGAAAAAACCATCGCACACATTACAAACACAACGCAAAGGAACTTGACCTAAATAGAACAACAAAGCCACATCTCGACCTACACCTATCAATATCTCCAAGAGCGACAACTACCACCGGACTCTCCCCTTGCCAACACACCAACACATCAACCACTCTTGAATGCCTAGAAGTAGATGGCGAGTGGATGGAGGGACTTGGTCGGTCCCGAGGCAATCTTCATCTTGAGCTCGCCGGCGCTGACGTACATAGCATCGATGAATATCTACTCGGACCACCGGCGAGCACAAATAACCTCAGCACAGAACATCCATGCCATGTCTCCACACACGATGCTTGTGCTTCCAACAGAGGAATGACGTCAAGAGGCTGCCATCGCCGGTCCGAGATGAACCAAGGCTTTTGCCCGGGGACAACAATCCAAGCAAGGAGCGGGACATGCCAACACACCTTAGTGATGCCTCCAAGGAGGGTAGCAACACCACGTAGGTGCCCTCGCCACCAACACCGACCGAAGACGAGCAAGATTTTCGTCGTGTTGCACATCTCCAACAACCCTCACCGGATTGAGGCACGCCATCTATGATGGGCCACTCCGCTACCGCCGCGCCACCTCGCAATCGTGGCCATAACGATGCAGCACACCGACCCTACACGGCCAAGCACACACAACCCAACTTCCACTAGTAGAAAAACGATCTTATGTGAGACACATTAGTCTCGGTTCGATTTTGGTCCGGTACTAATGGTATCATTAGTCCCGGTTCAAACGGCTATGCATTAATCCCGGTTCGTGTTGAACCATTAGTACCGGTTCGTGCCACGAACTAAAAGGGTGGTGGCAGACCGGTGTCAGGCCAGGGCCCCACGATCCCCTTTAGTAGCGGTTTGTGTCACAAACCGGGACTAAAGGGCTAACCTATAGTCCCGGTTTGTGACACAAACCGCTACTAAAAGGGGTCTAACCTTTAGTACCGGAGTGGACTGATTTCCATTTTTTGGGGACTTGTTGCTCATGCACCACCGGAGTGGACTGATTTCCATTTTTTTACGATTCATATTTTTTGGTTGTTGGTTTTTTTGTTATCTTTTTAATCGGTTTTTAGTATTTGTTTTTCCCGCTTTTTATTTCAGTTTCCGGTTCTTTTATGAGAAAAAAGTTTGCCGAAACCTATTAATAGGAAATCTGTTTTCAATATCTCGACGTGAGAAATAAAAAGGTGAAAACGGATTGAGATTTGTATGCATGGTTTAACAGATAAAACATTTTGAATAAACGAAAGTACAGAAAAACAGAAAAATTCACAAATGATGCACATGCAGTTCGCCACTTATCAGCACGTGAAAAAGTTATCCGCTAGAGCTATTTCTCACTTTACGTGAGTGTTTCGCTCCGCCTCGTAAAGCGAATCTCCCGCGCTGTTTCTAGTGGGCCGTCCCGTTCGTGTATGTTTAAAAGAAAAGGAACAAAGAAAAATTGGAGAAACCTGGATAAGTTCCCGACTGATAGACCAAGCGCAACACTGTTAGGTACCAGGCCAGCCTCGCCCTTGTGTATAATTCTAGCGCTCGTCCTACTTGAGGCTACTGGAGCCGTTTTTTTTTTCATATTTTCTTCTGTTTCTTTTTTTCTCCATTTCTTTTCATTCTTGGTTGCATTTGTTTCTTCGTTTTTTGTTTTCTTACATTTTTGTTTTTTCTTCATTTTTGTTTTGTTCTATATTTTTTCCTCCATTTGTTGCCTTTCTTTTATTTTTTCTTATGTTTGTTTTCGCTCTCACTCCACATTTTCGTATGTGTCAAAAACCATTTTTTTAATAAGCGACCAATATTTCTTGTATACACGTTCAACATTGTCTGAACGCTTATTAATGTTTTTTTCAAATACTTGCTCAACATTTTAAAAGTTATTCCAACATTTTTTTAACACTTGTTCATCATTTTAAATTATATTCAATATTTTCGATCAATCTATTGAGTCTGCCCTATAAGTGTCACAAACTGCCTTAGAATTCGCACTACAATAACACCAAATAATTTCCTCGGTGGTGCTTTGCTTCAACCAGTTGGACATGCTTGGCACGACCAAACCCGGCCACGATCGATGATGGTCTCAAATACCAAGCCACCTTGCTGGGAACAACACCCTTAATGCTGGCAGGACGCTTCTTCAGTGTTATCATACAAGGCGTCATGGCTCTCGAAACAGGCGCAGGGGAGCCACCACGGCTGCAGGTGGGATCGCACTATGAGCCATTCAACCAGACGCTCCTAGGGTGTCAAGTGGGATCGCACTTATATTCCACTTGTAAGTCATTTAGTTCAACTTAGTTCAAAAAACATCTCAAACTTTGACTTGTGGATTTAAAGACCACTTAGAAGTGGGACTTTTGATTCCTCTCTCTGTTCCTGATGAGAGACCACGCCCAACTTGATCAAAACAAAAGATAAATAATTGCACATACGGGCATTGGGAGGGAGACGTACTAGCGTCTGCGGGCAGGTCGAGCCCGGCGTCACCATCGTGTCACCGCTCTTCGTCGCGCCAAACAACCCGCCTCCACCACCACTTGGGACGACAAGCAAAAGAAGAGCAGTGGGATGCCACTTATATTCTACTTAAACTGTTGGTGGTTTTAGTTAGCGACTTGATAACTCCCACGGTTGCTTTCAAAGAGCAATAGTATGTTTGTCTGACCGTTCAACTCCTGACTTGCTTACAATTATATACTAGTCTCTCCGTCTCAGAATATAAAATCATTTTTAACTCTATAAATGGTCTTATATTTTGAGCAGGGGGACCAAAATATAAAACGTTTTTGTAGGCTAGTTAAAAAAGTCTTGTATTTTGATACAGATGAAGTAGGTAGGACTGATCTCACGATTGGAGGACAATCGCCATAGTCTGGAGTCCTGGACCATTTTATTCGAGTAGAAGTGAGGGATTAAAACCGCACCAGAAATACAAGGTCCTGTAATAATAGCAAGTACTCCCTTCATTTCTTTATACAAGGCCACTATCAAAAATACATTTTGCATCAATACAAGGCCACCAACAGTAACCGAGGCAAAAGGTAATGATGCCGATGCCGATCGAGAGACAGCTGAGCTCTGGTACTAATTAAGAGCTTGGTTCGCTCGTGAGCGCGAATTGCTGGATGGACGAGCTGCCATTCCCGAACTTGCCTTTTCTCGAATCCATGAACTCAGTCATGGTGAAACTCCGGTACCGTCGGGGCTTGTCTGCCGTCACGAGCTCCGGGAGAGGCTCGATTATGTGGGAGTCGCTTGGATTGAAGAAGAGGGCGATGGATACCCTTGATTCCTTCATCGACTTGACCCTCACCCTGTGATCTATGCTAATGTACTCATCGTTCGAAAACACCTGCATGAGCCATTAATTACATGCATGGTGTGCGCGCCTAAGTTGGTGACGGAAGCAGAAGCAGAACAATCGCAACGCATGCTTATATACTTAGCTTACCTTGAGCAATTCTGTGATGTTTATTAAGAGCGTTCCAGCCACCGGCGGCACGTCTATCCACTCCCCATCGTCGACATGCACCACGAGCCCTCCGACGGCGTCCTGCACCAGCACCGTGAACAGGAATGGGTCGGTGTGGTCCATACCGCCGATCACCTTCGCGGGCTCCGGGCATGGAGGATAGTAGTGGGACGCCATAGACGCAGCCTCCATCTGCATAGTCTTCTCGAGCCACTCTGCACCGACACCGAGCGCCTCTGACAGCAGCGCCCCGATCTTCTTCTTTCCGAACTCCGCCATGACCCGGTGATACTCAAGCAACGGGTCCCGGCAGCTCGCGGGGAAGTGGCCCATGTCGGGACCCGGCGGGGCGAGGCTGATGGTGAGGCTGTCGCGCCAAGGCAGGACGGGGATGGCGTCGGGCCTGGCAGCCTGCCGTGGCCGGTCGTTGCGGTACGTGCTGAAGCTTACGCCACCGACGGGCGCGAGCGTGTAGAACGCCGACCGGACGGCGGGAGGCAGCTCGTGGAAGGCGCGGACGGCGGACAGGGCGGAGTCAATGACGTCAGCAGGGACGCCGTGGTTGGTGACGTAAAAGATGCCGCAGGTGCGCGCGGCGGCGTGGACGAGGGGCACGATGACCGAGCGTGGGAGAGAGAGGTCGATGGTTGGGATGATGAAGTTCGTCGTCCCGAGTGGCGGTGGAGGCGGGCTGTTCGGCGCGAGGAAGAGCGGTGGCACGATGGTGACACCGGACTCGACCAGGCCGCAGACGCCGGTGCGGGACGCGTAGAACTCGTCGAGCGCCGCCGTGACGTCGTAGTCGTCTCTTGTCCCGGCCATCCTTGCCTTCCGCTAGCTAATGATATGTGATGAGATGATCTAAGATGTAGTCTTCCCACTTAGCTCTATATATAGGACACATCTTGTCTTCTTGCAGTGGCCTGGGTTGCTCTCGGAATATGCCTGCATTTGGATGCTAACGTATCCTGAAGGATTCCGGCAATTTATTTTAACGGGTTTGCTAAATCTCATTCGGATGAGAAACTAATTGGTCTCATTCAATTTTTCGACCGTCCGATCGAGCCACGCGACGATTCGTGCTTCCTCCAGCTGGACTGCTTCGTAGCGACGGGAGGCGCAGTCCATCTGTTTGTCCCGCTCGTGGACCGTTCTGTTTTCCTTTTTTTCTTCTCTTTTTTGTTTTGTCGGGCCGGAAGCGACGCAGGGGGGTAGCGAGTTGTTGCGGGCTGGGCCTCCGAATTGTTTTTGTTTTGTTTTTGGGCCGCGCTTGTTCAGAATGCGAACAGTCTAGCCCTGCTACTAATGTCCAGACGTGTTTGCTGTCGTCACTCTCCTCGCCTCCTCGCCCCACTCTCCTCGCCTCTGTTCCCCTTCCCATCGTCTCTTTTTCTTCGCGTGGTCTGTTTCCCTTCCTCCTGTGATTTTTCAATCTAAGCGTGGAAGTACTTGGTGGGCTTGTGGCGAGAGAGATGGCAGGGGAGGCCGGCGAAGTGAGTTTTCGTTTTCTTTTCTTGTCATTTTTGTAGATTTGTTTTTTGCATTCTAGGGTTTGTTCTACTGTAGTTCATCATTAACTTGGGGGAGGGGAGGGGGGCGGGGTGATGAATGTTTTTTGAGTGTGGAATGCTCATGTTTGGTCTAGAGCGGTTTAAATGTTTTTTGATTGTGCTCCTAGGTACAGATTCTGCTCTGTATGAAGTTGTTGGTCTACATATAGCTGCTAAATAGTAATCATAGGCACAGATCCTGCCTTGTATTTTTCATAGATACATACATTGACTGGAACCAAGAATTTTAAAATATCAAGGCTTCAGTTTTATTTACCAAATGTCCTATCAATAGCTGTTTTTGGATCCCCTGTTTATCTTTTTTTTAGATCCCCTGTTTGTGGGACTATATGCAGCAGATAGCACCCAGATCCTCTTCTGCTTATCTATGGTAGAGATAGTCCCTAGGCAATAATGTCATGACTTTGTTTTTTGTGATGAAAATCTCTTATGTGTGCATCAAGTTTTCCTTTTTCTTTTGTGATAATTGCCTGCTCTGGTTCTTCTTCATTTTTCAGTAGCTTCCTTCCAGTCTGTTTGTTGGTTGATGTTCTTGCTTGTTCTGATTTTGCGTATCATTTCCATGTGTTTTCTGAATGAGCACCTGCTGCATATTATCTGATTGCTTATACATTGCATGGCTTCCATATTATTAAGGTGTCTCTCAAACAGGGGGCTGCCCTCTGTTTTTTATGGGTTGTGCTCAATTTTTTAGGAGCGCATATATGATTATGGCTTCTCTTAAGTTTATTCATCAGTCTCTTTTTACTTTATATGTTCGCCATGTGGAATTGATAACTTTGACTAGTTGGAGCTTGCTCGTGTTCTGTCTCCGGTTGATCACCATAGTATGTACTGTAATACAACCCTTTCCTGGAGCACTTGCTTGTGCAGAATTTTTAGTCTGTTTTTTTGTTTTGTTTCCTTTTCATCGAGTGGATCATTCACTTTATGTATATAATTTTCGTTCTTAAGAACTAATAACTTACATCATGTAAATATAGTTTGTGAAATTAGAATCTCCTTCTTGTCGCAAAAGAAAGCGTACGTGATTTCGATTTCGCGTCATTTTTAGGCAGTGGAAACTAGCCTAAGGCCTTAGCTGAAACCGTCCCTCTGCTCCTGCACAAGATTTCGAAGATACTCTATTATTTTCGTTTGTCAGACATTTATACGCTTGAATATATTTTAAGTTAATTTAGTAATTTCAGTCAATCCCCGCCATGGCAGTCTTGAACAGATGAGTCAAGGAAAAGAGTGGTCTGGGAGTGTCTAGTTATCAGATATGTGCTTTTCCATTTTGGTTTAGGTCATTTTGTTATGTTCAGTCAGTTCTGTGATCCATGCACATAATTGTTTTTGTAATTTCAGTCAATCCTCATTCTAAAAGAAGACTGTTGTCCATCCTGTTTCAGGACGCCCGACTTTGGACCTTTGAGGAAATGCTTGCAGTCAGCCTGTCCCTTAACTGTTTTTTTATGTTGTCAGGTTTTTTCTTGTGAGCTATGTGGGAACTTTTGCCATGGCGGTGCTGACAACAACTTCAAGATCGACATTCGTGATGAGTTCCTGTCTAAAGCGGTAATCAGTTAGTATTTTGCGTCTTTATGTACTTTGTTATTTGTTTCCTAGTTCAGCCGCAGTGCATCAATCAAATGGTGCATCATTTTTGTACAAGTCATGGTAAAATTCTTTGCGTATTTTGCCATGGATGGTCGCGCTCTTTTGTATTCAGTCATGTTTTTTCTATGTTATGTACAGTTTCCTGATTATTATTATTTTCTTTTGTTTTTTACATTTTTTTGTAGACTGTGCCATGCAATGCAAGAGTCTACGATCAATGGCGTTACCACCGACTACATGTGTTTTGAAGCGCATGGACGCAAGTACTCTGTCGACATTGTGAAGGGGGCACACAGGACCAGAATCAAGGGGAGTGGCTGGAAGAAATTCACTTCTGAATTTTCTCTTCAGAAGGGTGCTGTGGTCATTTTTGACTTGGACAGGCGTCCCCGCCAGGCACATGTTGTTGTTCAAAGTGATGACTTGGACATAGTTGAAGGAAGCTCTTCAGACGGGGATGCTGATGAAGAGATGATAGATGGAGACATCACAGATGTGGATGAAGATGGTGGCAGCATAAAGATCGAGTATACAAGGGGTCTAACTCTGAATGATGCACAACAGGACATTCTCAATGAACTGGTGCTCAACTTCAAGTCCAAGTTTTTAGGAGTATCTTTTCTACACTGTCTTACTACAACTGACACTCAAGTTGGACAAATGGTATGTTTTGTTGTTTCTTTTTTATTAAAATTTGCTTTTTGTGTTTACTTTATTTTTGTTTATATGCATATTTGTTTTCTTAAATGCATGTAGTTTTGTTGCGTTGCTTCAAGCTTTTAATTTTTATGTTTTTTGTTAGCTATTCTTTGTTGTGGATACAGAAAGTACCAGTGAGGGTTGCTACAAGCTTAAACATCCCTAAAGGAGGGTTGGCTGGTGTTCGTTTAAGCAGTGGGGAGGCAAAGACTCGCGTCGAATACCAGACGTCTACTGATGGACGTATAGCTTTCAACAAAAAGCAGTGGAGGCGTTTCCTTTCAAAGACTACCTTGGGAATCAACGACTGCATCTTCATGTTCTTCAAGGCCAGCAAGAAGTCTTACATGAATGTTACTGTTGTCGTCAGCAAGCTTTAAGTTTCATTTTCTTTTCGAGAAGCTATGTTCCTAGTTATGTAGTATGCTGATGCAAAACATCGCTGCGGTCTTTTGTTTATGCGGTTGACAAGAACCAAGTAACCCCCCCCCCCCTCGTCGTTTGCGATGTTTATTATCTATGTGTGTTTTCAAAACTATGTGGAATATGCGTTTCTCGTAATGATAAGTGATGTTATATATTTTTGATCAGTATGTTCTTTTAGGAGTAATTGTGTTTACGTTTTTCCAATACTTTTTTTGTTTATGATTTATAACGATAAACACCCTTGCCTTTCACGCACTATACATGCAATTTGTTTGCCCAGTTCTTTTAGTAACAAAAATATTGTTTTTTCATAGACGCCTTATTTTTTTGACAGTAGTTATCTTGAAAGTCGTAGATCTACGAGAGTGCTGTCAAGGTCCGTAGCTGCGTGTGTATGTCTTTTTTTGTGAAGGGGCCCCTAATTGCATCTCAACAACCGACTTCTAACTAGGGGGGTGTACGTGCTCGGAACAGCTTGATTTTTGATTGATAAGTTGTTGATTTATTTTTCATCTATCAACATCATGAAACTTTTTCGCTGAAATGAATGATTAAGTGTTTGGTTTCCTAATCCTGTAGTGAGATTTAATTTTTGCAGCTTTAATTGTATTTAGTATCTCCTAATAAGCACAGTCCAGAGTTGAGGCTTTGCCGTAGGATGCATCTAAATTATCTCATATCTAGATTATAAACCGTAGGGTGCATTGTGTCAAGATTCGTGTTTTTGTAACACGCGCTCGCAACTCGAGCCCGATTTTTTGGCCCAGCTGCAAGTCCAACATTGACTCTCAACTGGGGGGCTGACCTTTTTGTTTGAGTTTGCAAGTCCACCCTCGACTCATATCTTGGGACTCGTAACTAAGGGTGTTTTGTGTTTTGTCAGGGCGCTCAGTTGCCAGTCGATCATCAACTCGCAACTAAGGGTGTCCGTGTTTTACGAGGGTCCACACTTGCATATCAACTATCAACTTGCAACTAAGGGTCTTTTGTGTTTTTCGAGAGTCCCGAATTGCATGTAGGCTATCGACTCGCAACTAGGGGGGTGCCTGTGTGTGTTTTGTCGGGGCCACCAGTTGCATGTCGACCATCGATTCGCAACTAAGGGGTGTGTGTGTGTGTGTGTTTGTTGTGGCCCCCAGTTCCAAGCCAAACATCGACTCACAACTAACGATATGTGTGTGTTTGTCGAGGGTCCCCAGTTGTGTGTCAATAACCGCCTCGCAACTATGGGGAGTGTGTGTTTGTTGAGGGTCCCCAGTTGCATACCGACCATCGAGACACAGTAGGGGCATGTGTGTGTTTGTCGAGAGATCCTAGTCCCATGTCCACCATCGACTCGCAACTGGAGTGTGTGTGTTTCTCGAGGGTCCCTAGTTGCAAGTCGAGCATCAACTTGCAACTAAGGTTGTTTGTGTTTTG